TGCTCCTCCGCCCTTCCCTCCATCCATCCCATAGTCAGAGGGGAGGCGGGTGATGGGAGTTGTGTCAAGGGAGCCAGTAGTCTTGGTCATGCTTTCCTCCACATAGGGCCATGAAATTCCTCCTCGTTTCCAAAGAATTGGTCCACCACTCTGCCCCTAACCTCAGTTCTGACCAGGCACGGTGATGGGTTCAAATGGATCATTTTTTGTTCCAGAGCGTAGTAGGGGAGAGTAGGGTAGAGAAGGGCATAGTAGCGAAACATGTAAAGCAGAGCAGAGTAGCATTGTGATCGAGTATTGTTGAGTCGAATAGGTTAGGATAGGGTAGAGTATGGTGGATCGACTTCAGGTGTGTGAGAGAACAGAGGGTCAAAAAGCACAACATCAGCATCAAGTTAAGAATTCGTTAGTGTGCGAATCATCTGCTGAATGGGGGCACCCGCGCACAAGACAGCATCAGGGGAGAGAGGATATACCATTAATCATGTTGTTGTACCTTGTTGAGGGACGAGAGGGCGTGCGGGGATGAACAGGAGGAGCAACAAGGAGGAAGAGTCGGAGCATGATGATGAACAGCATGGGAAGGAGGAGGAGGATGAGGATGAGGATGAGGAGGAGGAAAATGACGAGGAGGAGGAGGAGGAGATGAGGAGGGGGAGGAGGAGGAGGAGGAGGAGGAGGAAGAGGAAGAGGAAGAGGAAGAGGCACGAGGGTCGCCAGAAGTTCGAAAGCTCTGCGGCGTTGGGTAGGCCGTGCCTCAACATTGAGTACAAAGGCGCGGTGGACATTCCGACGCTGGCCTCCGTCTGCCCTTTGGAGGTCGCCGGCTCCTCCTTTTGGAACGGAGAAGAGCACCGCCCAAGGGCGACCCGGTGCCAGGGCAGTGAGGAGCAGGGATGAGCAAAAGGAGGTAAAGGAGGAACGCGCCGATGATGATGATGATGATGATGATGATGATGATGATGATGATGATGATGATGATGATGATGATGATGATGATGATGATGATGATGCTGATGATGATGATGATGATGATGATGATGATGATGATGTGATGGTGATGGTGATGGTGATGGTGATGATAATGATGATGATGATGATGATGATGATGATGATGATGATGATGATGATGATGATGATGATGAGGATGATGATGATGATGATGATGGTGATGATGGTGATGATGATGATGATGGTGATGATGATGATGATGATGATGGATGATGATGATGATGATGATGATGATGATGATGATGATGATGAGATGATGATGATGAGCTGAGGCTGATGCTGAGGCTGAGGCTGAGGCTGAGGCTGAGGTGAGGGCTGAGGCTGAAGGCTGAGGCTGAGGTGAGGCTGAGGCTGAGGCTGAGGGCTGAGGCTGAGGCTGAGGCTGATGATGAGATGCTGAGGCTGATGATGATGATGATGATGATGATGATGATGATGATGATGATGATGATGATGATGATGATGATGAGGAGGAGGAGGAGGAGGAGGAGGAGGAGGGAGGAGGGAGGAGGAGGAGGAGGAACACGCCTAGGGGAGGAGGGCGAGGAGGAGGAGGAGGAGGACGAGGACGAGGACGAGGAGGACGAGGAGGACGAGGAGGAGGAGGAGGAGGAGGAGGAGGAGGAGGAGGACGAGGACGAGGATGAGGACGAGGAGGAGGAGGAGGAGGAGGAGGAGGAGGAGGAAAAGGTGGAGGAGGAAAAGGAGGAGGAGGAGGAGGGCGAAGAGGAGGAGGAGGAGGAGGACGAGGACGACCACGAGGAAGGCCGTTTGCGGGAAACTCGTGCCCCCTCACGCGTGCGGGGGGGAAGGGCGACCTCAGCCCGCTGGCCGCGCCGCGGCTCGGCGGGCGCCAACAGCTACGGTTTGGTCAGGGCACGGCGAGCCCGACAGGTGTGTGAAGTTTGGGTGTGATGTGCGCGATGACGGGTTGACCAGCCCATGGGCGAGCACCGACGAGACGGAGCTGAGTACCTACCAGGCGGTGGGGAGCACCTGCGAGACGGAGGTGAGCACCTAGGAGGCTCAGGTAAGCACGTATTCTGCGGAGGTGAAATGGCGCTGGGCTAAGGGAGCGTGCCGGACCTGCGCACGTACGTGGCGGAGGTGAGCACGTACGAAGCGGAGGCGAGCACGTACGAGACGGAGGCGGGCACATACGAGGATATTTGATGACCCACGAGGCGGAGTTCAGAACGTACGTGACTGAATTGACCACGTACGAAACGGAGGTGCACACATAAGCGGCTTCGAGCACGTACGAGACAGAGACGGCCACTTACGAGATGGAGGCGAGTACCTACGAGGCGGTGGAGAACACCTACTACACGAGGATGAGCACGCATCAGGCGGAGCCGAGCACCCACGATGCGGAGTAGAACATCCACGAGGCGGAGGCGAGCACCGACGGGACGGAGCCGAACACCTACCAGGCGGTGTGGACCACCGACGAGACGGAGGCGAGAACCTAAGAGGTGGAAATAATTTGCTGAACTTGAAGTTGTCTTCTCCATTGCTCGAGCAAACATCCCACCCTCCCACCCGCAACTTGGTCAGCAAAACTCACCAGACCGTGGCCAACGCAACCACGATTCTCGCGAGCCTCGGGCCCCCCCTTTCCCCGCCCTGCCGCCGCGACGGCCTTGACGACGACGACGACGACGACGACGACGACGACGACGACGACGACGACGACGACGACGACGACGACGACGACGACGACGACGACGACGACGACGACGACGACGACGACGACGACGACGACGACGACGACGACGACGACGACGACGACGACGACGACGACGACGACGACGACGACGACGACGACGACGACGACGACGACGACGGCGCGCGCGCATGTGTCCCGCATGGTATTATTTGACACGGACAGTGGCCCTGGCAGGCGCGCGAACGTCGTTGAAGGAGCGCGCGAAAGTAGCTCGCACGAGCTCGTGCGACCGAAATGTTGAAAAAAGCATTGGTTTTGTAAGGTTCGGACAGCGCGAGCGGGCAAACTTTTGAAAATCCGGGAGGTTTTTTCGAGGACCTACGGTGCGATTCGTGTGTTTTTATGATACGCAGTGCTGAAATGCTCAAGAAACCCAATGGTTTTTGAAGATTTCGGCGCGCGCGCGCGAAGAAAAAACGAATGTGCCCCGCATGGCATTATTTGACAAGGATTATGCCCCTGGCAGGCGCGCAGCCGTTGTTGAAGAAGTTCGAAGCGCAGGAAAAAGTTGCTCGCAAGAGCCCTTTTTACAGAAATATTGAAAAAGTAGTGGGTTTCCTAGGAATCCGCAAGAGCGCGCGGGGTGAATGTTTGAAACTTCTTTTTTTTGAAAAACCATTGGGTTTTTAATGTTTTTTATGTTAAAATCGCTACGACACCAAGGTTTTGGAAGGATTTCGTCTTGCGCGCGCGAATGTGTCCCGCATGGTATTATTTGACAGGGATTCGTGAAAAAGTGTTATGTTAGAAAGAAAAATGTCCCCGCATAGTGTTATTTGACAGGGAACCGCGGGGGGGGGGATACCGGCTTGGCTGGGATGGTATGAATTCATATTTAGGATGGACATGTGGTCAGAATCATATGTGATTTACAGCACGCGCGGGGGAAGCGATAAGTCCGTGGGGGGGGGGGTAGTATCTATTATTCTTTTAGAAAGGAGAATTGAGCACGTGGGAGGTGAGCACCGACGCGGCGCAGGAACACCTGCGCGGAGGTGCGCACGCGCGAGACGGAGGCGAGCACGTACGAGGCGGAGATCAGCACCTACGAGGCGGAGGCGTGCGCCCACTGGGCGCCCGAGAGCACCTACGAGGCGGATGTAGGCAACTGCGAGGCGAAGTTGCGCACCCGCGAGACGCAGGTGAGGTGAGCACGCACGTGGTGGAGGTGAACACCCGCGAGGTGGAGGTGAACGCGTGCGAGGCGGAGGGGGGCATTTACGTGGAGGCGGTGATCACGCACGATACGGGTATGAACACCTGCCGGTTTGAGGTGGGCACCTACGGGGCGGAGGTGCGCACGTGCGAGATGGAGGTCAGTACGTACGTGGCGGAGGTGAGGAAGTACGCGGCGGTGGCGAGCACGTATTCGGCGAAAGCGGCACTTACGCGGCGGCGGTAACCACGGACGAGATGGATCTGAGCACCTGCGAGGTGGAGGCGGGCACCTGCGAGGCGGCGGTGAGCGCGCGCGGGGAGTAGATGACAGCGTGCGAGGCGGAGGCGGGCACCTGCGTGTCGGTGGCGAGCACGCGCGAGACAAAAGTGAGCGCCTGCGAGACGGAGAAGGCCCTGAGCAACCGACGCTTGGTCCCCTTGAAATCCCGAGGTTGGTCATGAGGAATGCCGAGAAGAAGGGGTACACCTTCGTCCCTCGTCGGAGGAGGGCCGAGGAGGACATCGAGGATGACGACGTTTTGAAGGAGACTGCTGCGTGGCGTTCGAAAGCCATCAGGCTTGCGCGAAATCGCGCAGGCGCCAATCCCGTCAGATACTCGGCGGAGATTACAGGAGGACTGAGTTTGGGAGCAGCTTTCGCTGGACAGAGAAAATGGTTGGCCCGAGGTGACAGCTGACCGCTCCGAGGCGCTCAACATTGACGGGGACAGCGGCAGGCCTCTCTACGCGCGCGCCGAGGTTCGTCACCGTTTGTCCAAGTTTAGCGGGCCCTCGCCCACCTCGACAAATTCATCGCTCAGCAGGCAGACCCCGGCGACACTCGCGAAGCTCAAGCGGTCCATCGAGGCAAAGTCAGACCACCGCTGCACGCTCGGCGATGAACACCTTGATTGGTAGGGCACTTTCGGCGCACACTGGCGTCGGCACCGACGAGTACGACGCCCGCGAGGAGCGCGACGAGGACGAGGAGCCCACGCTGGAGTGCAGCCTCAGCGCCGAAATCGCGCAAGCACGCCAACAGCCCAGAAGAGATCAGCGCAGCGCGCGGTTAGCATCCTGGATACTTACATCATTGTTTTCT